ATTTTGTCGAGGCCTCGCAAGGCCTTGGAAGGCGGCCCGCAAAACACAAGCGATTCTGGCTTCGCCAGGACGGGCCTCCACTGTAGGGATAATGGAAAAGAAAACGGAAACTACTATTTAGGGTTTAGGGCTTAAATACATTATCCCAACGGTGGAGAACCAACTGGAAAGGAGTATGGACAGTGAAATGGACACTGGGCTTACACAGAAGTTGACATTCAAAAGTTGATCGTAAGAGTCCTGCATGACCCCAGGTACCTTCTCCTTATTCCCTGGGAGTTATGGTATTATGTTGCACTTACGTCATCCAAACCTACACCCTAAGCCTTAAACCTGAGTGTAGTTCTAATTCGGTCAGAACCACAGTGGGGAACTTGCGGGGCTTGTGCTTGAGGTGTACAAAGGGTTAGAAGATTATATCTACCAAGACTCCCACCTAAACCCTAAATCCTAAATCCTAATCTAGTCACTCCACAACCCTAAACCCTAAACCCTAAACCCTAAACCCTAAATCTAGTTACTCCACTTGGAACCAGAAAAGTTGGGGCCAAAAAAGGAGAAAGTCACCTGAGTTGAGGGCCGGCAGCCCCTAGCACAAAGGAATTCCTATGCGGTAAGCTATGTAGGGTGGTGCAAGATTTCCTTCATCCCAGGTTAGGGGGCAGGGTTTAGGGTTTAGGGTTTAGGGTTTAGGGCTTAGGGTTTAGGGTTTAGGGCTTAGGGTTTAGGGTTATCTGACAAGTTATTCAGCGGGTTTGACGTCGAATGATCCCCGAGTCCCAACTAGCCCAAACATCAGGGTTCGTGTTTACCACCAGCACGTTGGGAATGTAAGACTGCCATCTCAGCTTTCCATTTGACCCCCCTCTCCTTTGCACGTATAGGTGCAGATTAGGGTTTGGAGATGTGATCCTCTAGGCCTACTTGTGGGGTTTAGGGATTAGTGTTTAGGGTTGGGGTGTTGTTTAGCATGAATTGCATGAGTATCAATGCTACAATGTCTATTGGTATTGATACGCTGATACGCAAGGGCCGCGACCAGTAAAAAGGGTGTTCATCGAAATAATCCTCATACAATCGTTAATACGCACCCCAATAATCCTCTCATAATCCCGATGTATCCTTGGCGTCCCTGGGGGCACCCCTTGTTGGAAACTCCCTTATTTCTATTACCGGTACCATTCCCAGACCCTTTGGAAAATCTAGAAATTAGATCACATAACCCCTTAGCCCCCTTGCTTAAATTCCCGCCTTATCTTAGGGATCGAATTTTAAAACTCCTTGGGGGTCTGAGATACTATTAGGTTCAGCTTTCATTGGGGTAGAGATGTTGTAGAGTAAGTTTCACTGGTCTGAGTATTTCAGTTTCTATAATGTTTTTAGTACCGTGGCTAGTAATTCCTGACCCTAAACCTTAAACCCTAAATCCTCAAGCTGTTAATATTTCTTTTTTGCTTAGCCTTCAGTGCAGCTGAGAGGTACTTCCTGCTGGAGCAGCACGGGGTGAAATGTGTCTGTTCCAGGCTGTTTAGGGTTTAGGGTAACGCTTAAGGGGTCTCTCTTCAGGGGGACTTAGTAAAGAATGGAAAGGAAATTGGAAAGTACTGTTCAGGGTTGAGGGTCTAGGGTCATGGGAACTTATGGTGTTCATCTAATAGTTAAGAAGTCTATTGCTGCGAAGACTGTGGTCGAGAATGGCCTTGTCCTGTTCGCTTAGGGTTTAAAGGGTTTGGCTTTAAGGTTTAGGGTTTCGGGTGTAGGGTTTAAGGTTTGGGGTTCCAGTGACTTACTTGGACTCGCACAGCTGACTGATTTCCGCGTAGAGTCATATCCAACGTTGCTTGTATGGCACGGGCATTTATAAAGGCATGCTTAGCATCAAAAAATGACTTGGCTGACTTTGCTGAGTGCTGACAAACAAAAGATAAACCACAAAAGAAGAGCGGCAAAACAAGAGGGCAGCCTTGCCAAATTGAAGTTTGAGCATGGATCCTGGTACACTTCCCTTTAAGGGTTTAGGGTTTGGGGTTCCTAGTACACTCCCCTGCAAGTCTAGAAGAGTCCCACAAGACATGGTCAATAGACGAATCGGATTACAAGGGTCTTGCTCGGCTTGTATGTGATGCAAAAGGTTCCGCTTAAGCCTTTCACAGCTGTTCATGCATAATTTCCAGTACCACCACTCTGATAGCCATATATAGCCATAGAAGGTAGTTTGCAAAAATTGGCGGACCCCATACATACCCCAACCTGCTTTAAGCAGAACTTTTTTGTAAGGAACATTCTATTTCGAGCGTGCGCGGGGAAATTCTTGTTTCGTCCACGCTTCCATGCAGAAGGGAGGGACGGTTTCAGGTTCGGATCTTGCTGGTCGTTGAAGGGGAAGTGGGGGAGTGTAGATGTTACGGTTGATCTTAAAGATCCTGCGTGACCTTGCTATGACATCGCACCATAATTGCCAAGGTATAAGGTACTTAGGGCCAGGGAGGATTTTTAACATCCACCGTACTGTTTATTGTAAATCCTGCACGAGCTTTCACATACAATGTAGCCACGCTCCCCAAGATTAAGGTGTCTCAGGCCTTTAGAATTTAGAGTTTGGGGTTTAG